TAATATTTTGTTAAGTTTTTATAAAAAATTTCCAGTGTAGTTAACACACATTGATCTATTAGTTTCAGGTGTACAATATAGTGATTCAACAAGCCTGTACATCACTCAGTGCTCATCATGGTAAGTGTGCTCTTAATCCCCTTCACCTACTTCACCCAGCCCTCACCCCGTCCCCTCTGGTGACCCTCTGTTCCCTATAGTTCCCTATAGTTAAGGGTCTATTTCTTGGTTTGTCTCTCTCTCTCTCTCTTTTTTCTTTGCTCATTTGTTTTGTTTCTTAAATTCCATGAGTGAAATCATATGGTATTTGTCTTTTTCTAACTGACTTATTTCACTTACCATTTTACTCTCTAGCTCCAGCCATGTTGTTGCAAATGGCAAGATTTTATCCCTTTTTATTGCTGAGTATTATTCCAGTGTGTGTGTGTGTGTGTGTGTGTGTGTACACATTTTCTTTATCCATTCATGTATTGATGGGTGCTTGGGCTGCTTCCATACTTTGGCTATTGTAAATAATGCTGCAATAAATGCAGGGGTGCATGTATCCCTTTGAATTAGTGTTTTTGTATTTTTTTTTTGGTAAATATTCAGTAGTTATTGCCCTAAAAATCTTATGTGCTCCACCTATTCATTCTTCCTTCCCCTTTAACTCCTGACAACCATTGATCTTTTTACTGTCTCCATAGTTTTGCTTTTTCCAGAATGTCATATAGTTGGACACTTATAGTATGTAGAGTTTTCAGATTGGCTTATTTCAGATTGGTTTATAATATACATTTAAATTTCCTCCATGTATTTTCATGACTTGATAGCTCATTTCTTTTTAGCACTAAATAATATTCCATTGTCTGGATGTATCACAGTTTATTCACCTACTGAAAGATATCTTGTTTGCTTTCAAATACTGGCAATTATGAATAATGCTGCCATAAATATCTGTGTGCAGGTTTTTTTGTGGACATGTTTTCAACTCCTTTTTGATAAATACCAAGGAATGTGATTTCTGGATCATATGGTTAGAATATGTTTAGTTTTGTAAGAAACCACGAAACTGTTTTCTGAAGTGGTGATATTTCTTCCTGGTTTTCTTTGGGAGCACTTCTTTAATAAATCACTTGCTCACAAATCCTCATCTCAAGGTCTGCATCTGGGGAAGCTGACTAAGACATCCATCAAAGAAGTTCAGAAGTGGACACTTGCCTATCTGGAACTTGAGGGTGTGTAGCATTGTTACTGTGGTCACTGCTGAGGAGGAAGAGGGAGGGGTCATGGCCAAGTTGCCATGATCTTGTTGTTATGGAGACAGACGTGCAGGCTTCATCACAAGGCTGCTTCCCTCCAGGTATGATGTTGCTGTGGAAACACAGAGCCTGAAGCCTCAAAGAACACTCTGTTCTAATCCCAGCTGCTTTATCCATCTGCTTTGTGTCTCATTAGAGAAGGAGCCTAGCAAGACAGGAGGCTTTGACCACATCTCTGTTCAATCCAGTTCTTTAGAGAAGGGCTCCACCCTGGACTTTTTCCTGGGTGAGTGGGAATCTTGGGGTATTTTTAGGTAAGGTTTGCTAAATTAGATGGAAACAAAATCTTCTTGTGCTTCATGGTTTTCGGAATGACTGCTGGGAATTGCACTTACCACATACTTATTTCAATTAAGATCAAGTGGGTCCACCTTAGCTTCAGCCTTATTTTGAAACTGTAGATTTTTTCAGCATTTACCTCTGTGTTTCCAGAAATGGGAATGATTATGTTAACTCATGGTTAATGTCTTCTGTGGTCAAGGAAGCAAGGTTTTAAGTAGAGTTGTTATAGGATATGGTATCTCTCCGTGGTGATGGCACTGATGCTGGAGACTGAGCATAGGTATTAATGTGGCCCAAGGTTATCTCCCCAGTGGGTGACAGGGGTTCTCAGTTAGATGCTATGTAGTAGATACAATTTCCTGGTTAAGAGCATGGGCTTTAGCATTACATGTTGTCTTAGTGTGGGAATGTGTGGCTTGCATAACAAACATTTATTTCTCACAGTTCTGGAGGCTAGGAAGTCCAAGATCAAGGTGTTGGCAGATATGGTGTCTGGTGAGACCTCTCTTCTTGGTTTGCAGATGGCCACCTTCTTGCTGTGTTCTTACATGGCAGAGACTGAGTGAACGCTGGTCTCTTCCTTTTCTTACAAGTCCCATCATGAGGTTTTCACCCTCATTACCTTATCTAAACCTAATTACCCCCCAAAGGTCCCACCTCCAAATACCATAATATTGAGGATTAGGGCTTCACTATATGAATTTTTGGGGGGGGGCATAAAGAAATCAGTCCATACCAGGTGGTTTTAGGTTGACTTTTGAGGCAGGCAAAGAGTCATTAAAACGAGGTCTCTTTTATTGTAAAGAGTTATTTACTTTGCCATTTAGAAATGACAATGGCTTTTGCTTTTCATTGTTATTGTTACTCTTATTGAAATTAAACTTTGTTAATGAATTAGAGTTTCTAAATTTAATTCCTGACATTTTACTACCTGCATCTCTTAGGGGCATCAGCTAGATCTGGGAGTCAAGATCAATTTTCAGAGAAAAGCAACAGTATCAGTCAAGGTTCAGGCAGGAAAACAGAAATCACTTTAGGTATCTCAAACAGAACAAGATTTAATATGGGAAGTGAATTGCCTACAAAAATCACTGAGAGGACTGAAGGAGCAAAAGTCAAGAGGACACCACCTGGTATGGTATGGTCCATCCAAGGAGCTAGAGAGATTCTAATGCCACCCACAGGTCAGGAACAGTTAGGAAACCAGAGCCAGCCTCCATAGATCCTTGCAGCCCTTGGGGAATGAATTTCAAGGGAACATGAAAGCTATTATTTTTTTTTCTTTAAATTTTTTATTGTTATGCTAATCACCATACATGACATCATTAGTTTTTGATGTAGTGTTCCATGATTCGTTGTTTGCGTATAACACCCAGTGCTCCATGCAGAACGTGCCCTCTTTAATACCAGAGAAAGACATGTATCATATGACCTCACTGATATGAGGAATTCTTAATCTCAGGAAACAAACTGAGGGTTGCTGGAGTGGTGGGGGTGGGAGGGATGGGGTGGCTGGGTGATAGACATTGGGGAGGGTATGTGCTATGGTGAGCGCTGTGAATTGTGCAAGACTGTTGAATCATGAAAGCTATTATTTAAACCCCCTTTTGTAAAGCCCACCTCTCTGATAATGTTAGCAGAGTCTTGCATGAGTGTATCTCTGTATTCTAGACTAAATCCTACCCACTATCCTGCTGGCAACTGAATACATGACATTTAGTTCCCAAGCTTCCAGCCCTTGTGATATAAAGGAGAACAGAGAAGGGGTTGGGAGAGTATGCAGGGCCCATAGACAATATCTGGTTATCATTCATTTTATATGCCCAGTCCCCAGCATCCTACTTTTATTTCATAGCACTTATAATTATGAATTGGATTGTGATGTTTGCAAACCAGATATTTTTAACTACTCTGTTGTAATTATGCTTTTGCCCTTGTGTGGCTGTATACATTGAATAGAGAAAATTCATGATTATATATACAATAGACGATTTGATTTTGGGTCAACTAAAAGTCAGCATGTATTTAGTAAAGCTGAGGACCTGAGACCCAGTGATTACAATGCTATTAACTATCTGGGATGGTAGAATAACAATAGCAATAGTGATGATGATGATGATAAAAATGATGGTGATGATAATGATATGTGTAGACACCATTACTCTCCTCAGGTTACAGATGAAGGCACTGTAGAATCAAGTGGTTAAAGAACTTTCATACAATTTCATACAGTTTGTAAGTGGCAGAATCGGGATTTGAATCTCAAACTAGCTCTTAAGTACTGCAAAACTCACAGAAGTTCTAACAGTCAAAATAGGATGTTTATTCATTTGTTACTTTATGCTAAATTGTTTTACTGAATGCCATCAAAGTATGAATCTCTGATTCTCCCTTCCATTTACCCTTGTATCTTGTGATAAAATCAGTGCTTAAAATTTGAGAGATTTCTCTGTGGCAGACACGATGCTAAAGGATTTGTAGGAAATATAGCATTTACTAAGCAAAAACAACTTCACGAGGCCTGGGGAGGGTAAGTAATCTATCCAGTGTCAGATAGTAAGGAAGTGGCAGATCTTGGATTAAAACTGTAGAGCTGTACTGGCCAATATGGTAGCTATAAGCCCAATGTCATGATGGAGCACTTGAAACGTGGCTGGTTGGACTTACGATGTGAGATGCATGTTGGATTTCAAAGACTTTTCACACTGTGGTGCATCTGGGAGGTGCTGCGGTGTGAAAGTAAGACAAAACTACGTTTCTAGTCTTGATCTCCTAGGAGTTCATCTAAAAGGTAGTGAGGCATGAAGACTTTACTGAGGACAAGGGACTTGTATGGGGGTGGGGCGGGTGTTGGGGAGGTGGGACTCTGAGGGGATAGTAGAAATTTACATTTCTTAGACATGCCAATGGCATTTTGAGGTTAGTGAACAGGCCAGTCTTGCTGGAGGGGTGTGTTGTAGTCAGAGATTATTTGTTACAAATCTCTCACCCTGGTTTAAGCCCAAAGGGGGAATTTTCTAGATGGATGCAAGGCTGTCTCCTACAACACAGGCAGTTGGTTCACCCGGGTCTCGGGTGGGACTGGAACCAGGGCTTTGAAACCAGCTAGGAACAGAGGAGACCACTCTTCCTCTTTTCCTGGAGCACCTAGTCTAACACCTCAGTTTCTCTCTTTGCTTCATTGTCCTCTTTCTAGATTAACTGGCTTATTCTGCTTCTCCGAGCACATGGTGGAAACACTTGATTGACGGGTCTTCATTCGAAGTTGCTGGGTCCTCATTTGAAATTCCCTGGGGAGGAATCTGATTGGCTGGGCTTTGGTCAAATATTCTCCCCTATTCCAACTGATAGGTCAAAATATGCAAATGAAATAATATGACGGCTCCAGAAATAACTGCCTCTCTCTCTCTCTCTCTATTTTTTTTTTGTTAGAACAACTCAGCAAAATAAAATTCCGGTTTATTGTTGGACAACATTGTTTCACACATACATCAAACAGGCCAAAAAAAAAAATAAACAGCAACTTCATAGCCAAAAAAGGAAAAAAAGAAACCTTTTATCTTTGGCCTTTTTAACCATCTCATACAAACCAACTACTTATAGTACAGCTAAGTACATACACAAAAAAAGTTACTGGAATGCTCGGAATAAGATTGTTTTTTTGTTGTTGTTTTTGCTTTTTTTTACAAGGTTTTTTTTCTCCTTTGAGATTATAATGAACATGGTCACACCACAAGTAAAGTCAGAAGTAGGACAGAGAACGCTTCAAAGGCTGGTTTGGTCATCTGAGATCATTAAAAATGGCTGACCCCTAACACTATGTACAAAAATATAAAATGTAAATAAAAAATACAAACAAATTTTCCTTTTTAAAGTACTTTTAAGAAAAAAAGCAGGGCCTTGGAAGTTTTGATTCTTTTTTCCTCCCCTGTTGCAGATTCACGTTGTGGTTTTGGCTGGGTGGCGGAGAGCGTGTGTCATCTGCGGGTGGCGCTGCCCGCGTTGGGCAGGCGGGCGGGACTCTCTCTCTACTCGAAGGCGACCACGTTTAGATTCTGAGACGGGAAGTGGAGGGTGAATAGGTCACGGTGGCCTTTTTTTTTTTGTTAAGTTTAGCTTTTCCTTTTTTGCTGTCTAGTCATCCTCATCGGTCTTCTGCTTCTTGGTGTCGACATCGTCATCCTCATCATCTTCAGCTGCCCGTTTGCCCGTAGCTGCCTCGGCCCCCTCATCTTCATCTCCAGCCTCTCCCTCACCATCGCCTTCCTCCTCCTCTTCCTCCCCCCCTTCCTCTTCTTCATCTACCTCGTTGTCGGCCTCCTGCTCCCCATTTTCCTCATTAGCGTTCCCATTAGCAGGCGCGTCTCTTCCATTCTCGGCCTCCTCCACAACTTCCTTCTTCTCCTTTAACTCCTTGGTGGTGACCTCGGAGCTGGTGTCCACGGCCGCGTCTGACACAATGGGGCACCCCGGTGATCCGATGCCGCGGATTAAAAAGAAAGCAAGAGTTCGAGGACTCTGGCGAGAAAGCTGCCTGAGTCCGCGGTGGCGGAGGAGGCGCGCGGCGGAGGTGGTTGCGGCGAACGGGGAGCCGGACACCGGAACAAGGCAAAGATGGCTTTTCAGAGCAGCCAGTGGGGCTCACTGCCTCTATATTTTTTTACTCACTCTTCCATCACACATGAGAAACTTCCTCAACTTTTTCCTCTCAGAATAATTTTAAGAATTCCTTTACTGCTCCATTATCATGTCCCAACTCTTAACCTACTAAAACAATATTTAGCTATTTTATTTAAGAATGTTCCCAATCGTGGTGTTCTGAGAAGTCTTCTCAGGTTTGGCCAGTGTATGTACCTTTTGTTGTTCCCATTGATTAGACGCAGTAGCTTTGTTCTTTCTATTTTCCCAGTACTCCTACATTCTATTGACATAGATAGTTTTATATTTTATCAGTTTGTCTTGAGATAGAATGGACCATGAGGTTCTGGAAGACAAGAACCATGTTTTCGTTGTCTTTACCTTCCTAATGCTGGTGCCTGATACACTTTCCATAAACATGCATTGAATGAAAGAATGAATAACACTGCATTTTCTATACAAAAAATTAAGGTTTTGTATTTTTATAATCTGCTATCACCTGTTGCCTGATCCTTTCTAACCTACCAGTATTGCTTTTAAAATACATTGTGCTTTGGACTGCCTTTCTTAGATGGGAAAAATATTCACTTAAGATGATTTTTAAATACCCAAAACTCATGCACGTGAGTGATGAGACTTGGCAGTTGATTTGCACATTTCCTCTGGAAGGACTTTTCTCAGTAGGGATCACCCTACAGAAATGGTTTACAAATGGTTTCTCTGAAGGGAGCCTCTAAACTAGAGAATACTGATTCAGTCCCCTGTAGATCTTTGTCTTGTGAAGGTTTCTGAACTGAATTATGCAGCCATCTCTCACTGTCTGATCTGGCTACGTTAAGCCTTCTCCGCCATATTCCTGGGCATGAAAATTATCCAGAAAAATTCAGAACGAAGTGGCCAATTCAAAGTCTGCTGCCATAGGGTTAGTTACAGAAATGGATGTTTTTGGCCTATTTAGCTGTCCACAGGATCAGATTCCCTGGACAGTAGCCAAATCTCTGCTCCATATTATGCTATGGAACTAAAACTCAAAAGTAAAATAGCACCCCTGCCAATTTTGGAGCTTTGAAACCTTGACAGTAATTATTAAAAACTGTTAACAGTCCAAGTTCTCTAGCAGTTTGATGCCATAAAAATTAAGCCAAACCTTCAATCAAGTGTTTCTAATATAAATTTCTCTGTGCTAGCTTTGTTAGTAAAGAATTAGTTTAACTGATTCACATATTACATATAAATTAACCAGGAGGGGATTGCTGTAGTATTGTGAGAAATTGGCTTATTTTATCCTTAAAATGAGGAAATTCCCTCTAGACCAGTAAACTGAATTATTTTCCTGGTTTATACCAAACACTAATATTGATAATTGCCAGTACTCATTTTATGCTGAAAGACATGGCTCAATTGTTTGCCTGGTGAAAAAAGAATCTAGTTAACATGTATTGAATGCTTCCTATGAGCTAGGAGCATTACACACTTCATACTGTTTAACATCCAACAACTCACAACAAGATCATCCCATTTTACAGATGAAGAAACCTGTATGTTTGTAACTAGCACAGCTGGTATTTGAAGTCTCATCTGTATGGTTGGAAAGCCTCTGCTGTTTCTCATCTCCCAAGTTAGCGCCTTTCCAGTTTGTCATCAGTTGCCTTTTAAATTCTTTAAATATTAAAATATTAAAATATATAGATTGAATATATTTATGTATATAACAAAGTCTAAGAGTAATTTTCTTTGGATATGATGAAGATAATGATACATTTACAAAATTCAACTCAAATTACAGTGATAGGAGTCTCCCTTTGCTATATGGCCAAGGCCATGGTGTTCCCAGGCTAGTTCTGAGTGCCCTGGGGCTGCCTCATATGTCCCCAGGAACAGAGAAGGGCCCACAGGTGCTTCTGCCCCACCTCCAGCCAGGTCTCTATGCTGAGTCTCTACTACCTCCTGGGTTCTCCCTCTCTCCACACTGGGGCCCTGACTTCAACACAGGATACTCTTGAAGTTGTGCATTCAGTTTTCTTTGTGGCTCTGTTACCCTGACAGTTAGCTCTGGTTTTCGGCACAGACTGCAGGATTAAGGGTCTCTTTATTTTATTTATTTATTTTTTAAAGATTTTATTTATTTATCAGAGAGAGAGAGAGACAGAGGCAGGCAGAGGGAGAAGCAGGCTCCCCGCTCAGCAAGGAGCCCGATGCGGGGCTCGATCCCAGGACCCCGGGATCATGACCTGAGCCGAAGGCAGCGGCCCAACTGACTGAGCCACCCAGGCATCCCAAGGGTCTCTTTAAACTCTGCAAGGGAGACTTTATGACTTTCACAGTGTGCCTTGAATTGCTAGTTAGCTAACCTGAGCCTGTCTTTTGTCAAGGTTTCTAAATCTATTAAATGAAATCAGACAGCTTCACAATCATTAGAGTTAACATACTGGGCATACTGTTCAAGTCACATACTTCAATGCTTCACTTTCTTTTGCTCCTTTCTGTAATCCACCACGGGAACATCTTGGTGTTCATGATGCTGCTGCATGCCCAGGGTCATTACCTCCTGAAATACCAACACCTAAGTGGTCCTTATCTCTGACCACAAGAGATTCAGAACCAGAATCCCATCTAGAAGTTCTGCTTTTTTCTTTTTTTTTAATTTAATTTTATTATGTTATGTTAATCACCATACATTACATCATTAGTTTTTGAGGTAGTGTTCCATGACTCATTGTTTGCATGTAACACCCAGTGCTCCATTCAATACGTGCCCTCTTTAATACCCATCACCAGGCTAACCCATCCCCCCACCCCTTCTCCTCTAGAACCCTCAGTTTGTTTTTCAGAGTCCATTGTCTCTCATGGTTCATCTCCCCCTCCAATTTCCCCCCCTTCATTCTTCCCCTCCTGCTATCTTCTTCTTCTTTTTTTTTTTTAACATATAATGTATTACTTGTTTCAGAGGTACAGGTCTGTGATTCATCAGGCTTACACAATTCACAGCGCTCACCATAGCACATACCCTCCCCAATGTCTATCACCCAGCCACCCCATCCCTTCCACCCCCCACCACTCCAGCAACCCTCAGTTTGTTTCCTGAGATTAAGAATTCCTCATATCAGTGAGATCATATGATACATGGTTTTCTCTGACTTATTTCGCTTAACATAATTAGATGGTCTGCTTTCTAAGGACACTTCTGGTGACAGCGATTCTGGCCAGCATTCTTCCTGAAAGCAGTGCCTGAGACAAGGTCTTGCTTTGAAGATGTCCAGATTGGGAAGCATGAAAGTGGAAAGGGGAGAAAAACCAATCCAAGGTGCATTATGGTCTCCAGGATGGGACACCAGAGCTCAATTCTTCCAGGGACGCTTTGAGGGGCTGTGTAAAATGTAAAGGTCAGACAGGAGAGAAAATATATCTACTGCTTCTAGTTCCCCATTGGTCAACAGTTGCTCCCTGGTGTTAACTTCCTCCCACTTTTAGCCATCTGTGTGATCAGAATGGTTGGTCTGCAGGCATATCACACAGTTTGACAGTGACAGAGAAGCCTGGGGCGCAAAGTGGGCTGTGTATTTGGGGGTGTTGACATAATGTGTGGTCAGTTTCCATCTGAGTGCAGTGGATTCCATCAGTAATGATGAGTAAACAGGTGGGCGGAGAGGATGTAAACTGGGACGTAAGAGGTGTCAGATCCAGATTCAATCTTGTTCTATGCCTCCAACAAATCATCACAAAAGAGCCAGACAATAGGACACTTCCTAAAGCCTGGATTAGTTGGTTTCAAATTATACCACATATGGGGCATTACTGGTTGGGGCACTACAGTCCTCTTCAGTCCCTCTCATCAAGCATTCACAGCTGTTGGGGTGTCACTCAAGGTCACACTGAGCACAAGTATCCCGTGCTTTTTCTAAACAATTGCTTGATTACATCCCTGTAGCTAGTGCCACATGTACAGATACGTTTTTGGTATAAGACCAAATGTAGTTGCTGATGTTTTCTGAGGACTGAAGTAGCATAAAAGGTGCTCCTCTATGGCTCAGGGACGCTGGAAATAGGCTTAATTTAACTCCAAGTTGTGGGAGCAAAGATGTATGGCTCCAATGATGGGGATGAATTCAGTCAGATCTGCTTGGGAAGATTTTCTCATAGTGTCATACTCTTGGCAGGGGGAAGTGGGAAGGGAGCGAAGGGGGAGAATGTATGTTGCTTGGAGATGCTCAACAGGTGATTTTCTACAGTAGCCCCCCACCCTTTTCCTTTGAGAATACTGAAGGATGTTCATTGCTCAGTGGCTCGCTGGAGTTTCGTGGGATTGTTGGCATCTTTCCTGCTGTGCTCCATCAGGTTCCTAGAGCAATACCCAAGGCCAGGAGCGGCCATGTGGAGTGAGGGTGGCTGCAGACAGAGCTCCTGGAACAAAGAAGTGATGGAATTGATTAAGAAGCTGGCAGGATATTTGTAGACTTCTGTGTTATGTCAGCTTTTGAAAACCCACAGCTTCCCTCAGCCTCTTGGCCACAGGTACTGAAGGTGTCCTCAATCCCCACCACTAGAGGGTCTGAAAGTGACCGTGCTTTTGTAAACCTGATCTTGAAGCTGGCAACAGGCTGTTTCTATACAGCAGATCATCTGCATGCATTGCGAGTCTGGCCTGCCACCTACCCAGCCAGGGTGGCCTCCCGGGATGCTTCTCTTGGCAGGAGCATCTTACAGCTGGGCCAATTATTAGTGAGTTTCTGAATTATTCATGGCAATGCTTCCTTTCATTAGTGTGAATTGTCATGAATTGGTTGTAATCAAAGTGATTTAGGTTTAAGGAACAAAAGAGTGAGGTACATTTTTTCGTTTAATGTTACAGCTTGTTGGGTTTTTTGTTGCTCTTTAAGCTCCTAACAACATCATTAGGAGAAGTAGTTTTGTGTGTTTGGAAGGGACCCTGGACTTGGAGTCCAGAAACCCTGGTTCCTGGACTGGCTGTCCTACCCAGGACTCAGCCTTACCATACTTTAGTGATTACCTTGTCTAACATCTCGATTCTTCAGTTGAACAGACAGAGCTTAGTGGTAGAACCAGGACTAGAAGCGAGCTGGCTGAATTCCCTGTTTGCTCTGATCTATCTGATCTCATTGACCTATTGGGTATTTATTTAACTTGTGAGGACACAGCAAGAAGGCAGCTGCCTGCAAGCAGGAAGAGAACTCTCACCAGAAAGGCTGGCACCCTGGTCTTGGAATTCTAGCTTCTAAAACTGCAAGAAAATAAAAGACTGTTGCTTAAGCCACCCAGTCTATGGTATTTTGTCATGGCAGCCTGAGCAGATTAATGCAAGGGGCTAGATTAGAAATAAAGCATAGACTATTAGAAGTGGAATGGGGCACCTGGGTGGCTCAGCTGTTAAGTGGCTGCCTTCGGCTCAGGTCATGATCCCAGGTCCTGGGATCGAGCCCTGCATCGGGCTCCCTGCTCCATGGGAAGCCTGCTTCTCCCTCTCCCACTCCCCCTGCTTCTGTTCCCTCTCTCGCTGTGTCTCTATCAGATAAATAATAAAAAAAAAAAAAACCAAAAACCAAAAAACAACCCAACAGATTCTGATTTGGTAGGTCTGGAGTGCAGTCCAAGATAGGGTATTTTTTTTTTTTTAATAAGAGACTCTTTTTTTTTTTTAAGATTTTATGTATTTATTTGAGAGAGAGCGAGCGAGAGATTGAGAGAACGAGTGGGGGAGAGGCAGAGGGAGAAGCAGACTCCCCGCCGAGGAGGGAGCCCAATATGGGGCTCGATCCCAGGACCCTGAGGTCACGACCTGAACCCAAGGCAGACGCTTAACCGACTGAGCCACCCAGGTGCCCCAAGATTCTGTATTTCTAATATGCTCCCTCTGGTGCCACCATAGCTCGTCTATGGACCAGACTTTGAATAGAAAGAGTTCCACAAATTTAAGAAACAAAACAGGAGCATAGGGGAAGGGAGGGAAAAATAAAACAAGATCAAATCAGAGAGGGAGACAAACCATGAGAGACTCTTAACTTCAGGAAACAAACTGAGGGTTGCTGGAGGGAGGTGGGTGAGGGGATGGGGTAACTGGGTGATCAACATTAAGGGGGGGCATGTGATGTGATGAGCACTGGGTGTTATATAAGACTGATGAATCACTGATCTCTACCTCTGAAACTAATAATACACTATATGTTAATTAACTGAATCTAAATAAAAAAAAGAGTTCCACAGTCTTTCATGAATTCAGCTCAGTTCAACACATATTTCTGGAACACCTGCTGGGTTGGATACTATGCTTAACACAGGGAATAGTGAGAACATAGGGAATAGGTGTTGTGTCCGCTTTACAGATGATTTTAGGATTTATCCCGCATCAACCTCTTAAAAGAAAAAGATGAGCAATTCAGCCAGCAAATTCCAGTTTTTTTCAGGAACAGCAGAGGAATTGCAATTTGGGACAAGCAAAGACTATGAGCTGGAGGACAAAAGAAGACAGTGTCTCTTCATGGAGGACAGGAGGAAGTTGGGGAGGCTTGTTTTGAACAAAAGTCCATTGGAGTGTTACTGGACCAAAGTGGGCCCACTCCTTGGTGAGTTACAGAGACTGTATCAGGTGGAATGAGCTCACAGAGTGTTCTTTATTGGTACAAATAAGGAGGTCTCGGGGAATAGTGACTTCCCCAACAGAGGTAAGCAGGCTCCCTTTATTAGGGTTTGGGTGAATATTGAGAGGGGGAGGCCTCTGAATGGGCATGCATAAAGTTGTGCATGCAGGCTCAGAAAATATGCTGATATGTACATTAATGTCATACTAATGAAACATTACAAGGAAGCTGAGGTAACTGTTGACACTTTATGGCACTTTATGATTTATCTGTGCAGCTGTACTCTAGATGTTTCTTTTTCTGTTCCAGCAATTCATGAGTTTGTCTCTAGAAGATAAAATTGATAGTTAGGCAGAAGCTCCTAAGGACTCTTCCGAGTTCAGGGGGTCTCACCGGTGACAGGAGGAAAATGAGAGTCGGAAGTAGTGGCGGCTTCTCCTTGGCTGCAGGTGATGGCAGCTTGCTGTGGCCCTGTGGGGAGGAAATCTTCCTTCTTCTCGAGGGACTTTGCAAGCTGCCACCAGTTGTCTGTGTGTGAGAGCCCGCTTTCACGGCAACCCTACTCCAATTTTGAGTTAGGTTTCCTTAAGGCATTTTCACACCTGTTTTAATTGTTTAGGGTTGGAAGTGCTCACTACATATTTATCTGTTTTAAGAGACAGAGGAAAAGGTGGGATTCCTGAACTATTTCTGTCTCTTGGACAGAATTTTAGCCTTTAAAAATGGTAGAAACCATTAGCACAGATCTACCTCTAGGTATGTGTCCCAGTGTCTTAGTAGCAGCTCTCTGGGACCATGAGAGGGTTTTTATAAAGCCATTGCTCACTTTAACATTTTAAAATTAAAAAAAAATCTAGAGTTGTAATAAAAATAGCAACATTTTATAGTACTTCATAGATTACCGAGTGCCTTCCACCACATTATCTCATTATGTCCTTTGCAGGCTTGAGAGAATCTACAAATGGCATTTTAAAATAAATGTGTTGTGCATTAGGGCAGGTACATTACACAGCTGGGTACATGATATTCCAGATCCAATGATAATGAGAAATGACTGTGAAGAAGCCTGCATATAAACATACGCTCTGTCCTAGGGCACTCAAAAAAACTCTGCATCCGCTGGGAAAAAGCAGTTCAGACTCGTTGTTAGTTTCTCATAAATTTTCCAAGGGAAACACTGAAACGTTTCAACAAGGGTATTACGGAAATCTTTGGTCTCTGCGCAGATCTTCCAGTTTGACCACTGGCTTTTCATTCTGCTGAGAGGCTTGGGGCCATCTAAGGCCCCCAATCTCAGGTCAAGCACCAAGCTTGGCTGTAGACACGATGAGCACACTGCATGGCTGTCAACCTCTTTGCCTGGCCAGCCAGTGGGTTCAGCCAGTCAGGTAAGGAAATGAAAATGCGATTTACCATCTGGTAAAGTCTGCCTTCAGACATTGTAAAATGACCTGACTGTGATGACTGTAAAGATTTAGCTTCATGTGTCTAGGAGGTCTAATTGTATCTATCAGATACTATCAGTAGAGACTATGAATTATGTCTGGTTTATAATTATACCTAACTAAAAGTGAAGATTGTATTTATAATAATATTCAATAATTTTATTTATAATAACTTCAATAACCTTGAAATATTGAGTGAAAGGGAAGCAAATGGATGTCATTCATGAATATTTTATCAGTTAGGATGCTTTTTGCTATAAGAAATGGAATACTTGGGCGCCTGGGTGGCTCAGTTGGTTAAGCAACTGCCTTCGGCTCAGGTCATGATTCTGGAGTCCTGGGATTGAGTCCCACATCGGGCTCCCTGCTCAGCAGGGAGTCTGCTTCTCCCTCTCACCCTCTTCCCTCTCATGCTCTCTATCTCTCATTCTCTCTCTCTCAAATAAATAAATAAAATCTTTAAAAAAAAAAAGAAATGGAATACTTAATAGAGACTAAAAATAAAAGTTTATTGTTCACATAGCACAAATCTGGAAATAAGTTTCTGAGGTTTGCTAATTCAGCGGCACAGTTGATATCTGGGTTGTTCTGGGTCAGCTTCTCTCTGACTCTTCCGATTTTTATTTCATGGTCACAAAATGACTGCCATAGCTCCAAGCATCATGTCCTCACATAACTGAATTCAAACAGGAAAGAGAGTGCTTCCTTTATGCTTCTCCTCCTCCTCCTCCTTCTTTTTTTTTTTTTTTTAAAGAGAGAGGGTGTGCATGCAAGTGGCGGGGGGTAGAAGGAGATGGAGAGAATCTTAAGCAGGCTTCATGCCCAGCATGGAGCCCAATGTGGGCTCAATCTCAAGACCCTGAGATCATGACCTGAGCCCAAATCAAGAGTCGGACGCTTAACCGACTGAGCCACCCAGGTGCCCCTTCTTCTTCTTTTTAATCATGGAGAAAAGTCATTCTGAGAAGTTCCTGTTAGGTTCTCCTCAGGCCCTTTGGACTAGAAGTGGGTCATATGCCCACACTCACACCAATCACTGGTAGAGGAAATGGAATCAGCATGGCTGGCTTGGCTAATTATGTTTAATCTTCTAGTGCTGGGATAGAGTCTAAACTTCCTTGAGCATACTGCTTCCTCAAATCTGAACAAAATAAATGTTATTAGTAAGGAAACAAGGGAAATGCCTTTGGAGAAGGCAAGCAATATTGTCTGATGCACATATTTTCTATCGTTTCTTTAGAGGTTCTTGGTTGCTTACTGAAACAGAAACACATTCAGGGGTTAAAATCAAAGACTAACATTGAAAATATCACCTTTTATTGAGTTCTACAGAACAATAAAATATTTTGTGGAATGCTGCATGCCTGGGGTCTTCAGAGGGGTACAAGGAGAAATAGCAAAGCTAAAGTTACTGGAGGAGATTTTGAAGGACATTTTCAGGGAAATTTGGAGATTGAAAGAGAGAAAAAGTGTAGGGAGGGAAGTAGATATGGAGAGAAGAAGGATTTCTTTTGGGTTGCTGTGAGCAAGTACCCATCCCCTTCATGTATTCAAAATACACAGGTAAGAATGTGTGTTAATTTAGAATTGATGTCTGTTTGGCGGCCTGTGTCTCTTTTCAACATTGTTCAGTAGGACACATTCTCACTGTAGATCTCAAGCAAGGGTCAGGCATAGTATTTTCCCTACTGACCCTGTTCCCAATGGAAAAGCCAGTCTAGACCCATGGGAAGGTTCTATGGAAATTATAGGATGTTGGAACCTCCAACATGATGCCCAAACGCATCTCAAATTCCAAGATGGCTGCTCAAGGTTTTGCCACAACATCACATTCTTACATGTAGGAAGGAAGTAAAGGGAAGTGGAGGAGGCCAAGGACAGGGCTGGCCGGTTTCTTAAGGATGATTCTCAGTTGCCATCTAATGATACATCTATCCGTATAGATCCCATCAATCAGAACTTAGTCATGTGGTCAGACTAGCTATATGGGAGTCTGGAAATGTTGTCTTTATTTTGAAAGGCCGTGTCCTTAGCTAAAGATTCTATTACTATGAAAGAAAGGAAGGGTGGATACTGGGGGGACAAGAAAAAAAGGAGCCTCTTCCAGATGTATACCCTCTCTATAAATGGGAAATGGACTAGCACTTTTATTATTCTCTGTTTTTGTTCTTGTTATTTATTTAGCATGGACTGCCCTTGTCTCCCCCTTGCATTTTACACATATCCCTAACTCCTTTGTTGTCTACTGAAATTTTTCTCGCCTTCAAAGCTTAATTCAATGTCACTTCCTCAAAGGAATCTTCTTGGTTTTACCAATTAGAACTAACCTTTTCTGTGCTCCCCAGCCCATTACTCCTATTTTTACTACAGCAAAGTGTACATTCCATTTCACATTATCAGCAGTTGTTTATTTTCTCCTTTAGATTGTAAATTTCCTGAGGGCTGGGTCCTGGATTTAATCATGTCCAAATCCATACAAGGCCTACTGAAAGAGAAGTAAACTTGTATCTTGTTTAAGCAAATGTAATTTTTTTCTCAAAAGATTTTATTTATTTATTTATTTGACAGAGAGAGACACAGCTAGAGAGGGAACACAAGCAGGGGGAGTGGGAGAGGGAGAAGCAGGCTTCCCGCGGAGCAGGGAGCCTGATGCGGGGCTCGATCCCAGGACCCTGGGATCATGACCTGAGCCGAAGGCAGATGCTTAACAACTGAGCCACCCAGGAGCCCCTAAGCAAATGTAATTTTGCATTATTTTATCACTCATAGCCGAGTGTACTCCTAACTAATAGAAGATCCCTTTACAGAGTTTGGCATCACTGTATATCTAAACTGGTGATTAGACAGATACCACCTACAAAGGGCTAGAACATTAAAAAATGTTAATGAATGGGAGAAGATTGGGAAATATTCTTAAATTGGTGCTATGATGTTTTCTCAATTTTGAGTGTTAGAAGGGTTGGGAGGGTGGAGGAAGAAGGTGGGCTATGATCTAACACACCTGATTTAAAATCTTGGTTGAGTGACTTAACAGATTGATGACTTCAGGTTGGGAAATTATTCTCCCTAAGTCAGAGTTTTCAGATCTATAAAATGGAAATGAAAATACTTACTTTGCAGGGTCATTTCGAGAATTAGATAAGGTATTTGCAAAGAGCCTGGCCCTTAGAGGATACTTGTTGTTGGGCATTATCATAATCATTGTACTCAGATTTGGAATGATTAGGGGAAAAGCTCTAGGGTGTCCTATCCCAGAGCCACAGAGCTGATTATACATGGGTCAGGGGTTCTTGGAAGGAGATTTGCCATAGAAGGCAAGGAGTGTTATTACTGGTAACAGAAATTGAGAGCATATCATTTATACCCCATAATTGTGATGAAATTTGGCATATCAACATGGACAATATCCCTTCAAGGTGCATTTTAATAGTCTCTAGAAGAAAAACTTAGACACAAAGTACAAGCCCTTATTGATACTCTCTGTAGTTAGGGCAACATGTAGGGTAATAGCAAAAATGATAAAAGTGGCAATTCCACTGGAACGTGGGCCGAAGTGCACCTATTAAATTGGATCCATAGTTAAAATAGCCTGGGCTTTTCAGAGTTCTCTGAGAAGGAGTAGTTAAATCCCAGATTTTGTCTTTATTGATAGCAATATAGAAGTTATGTATATCACAGACCAAAAGTGATCAGTGACACAGCTGTCAGAACTTCAAGGGAAGAATAAAAGAGTAGATGCTGTAATTTCAAGGAAAATGGGAATAGTTTATGTGAAGACTTGGTTAAAAAATGACTTGTGGATCCCCCCATCCCCAAAACCTATGAGTAACTTTTTTGACTTTGTACCATGTAGAGCGTCCATGAAGTTTTTGGTGTACTTTGAAGCGAATACCTAACATGTATTTAGCACTTCTCAGTTTATTTAATGCTGTGACATGCCTTAATTCATGAAAGTATTATATTCATTTTCTGTTGCTGCATAATAAATTAACAGTAATACATGTAACAGCTTGAAACAGCACACATTTATTTTCTCAGTTTCTGTGGCTCAGAAGTCTGGGCACTGCTTAGCTGGGTTGTCTGCTTGGGGTCTCACAAGGGTGTGATGAAGGGGTCAGCTAGGCTGTGTTCCCACCTAGAGGATCAGCTGAAAAAGAATCTGCTTTCAAGATCACTCAGGTTATTGGCAGTATTAATTTCCTGTGGTCGTAGGACTGAGAGCCCTGATTTCTTGCTGGATCCTTAGCTACTGGGCACTCAGTTCCCAGAGGCTGCCCATTGTTTCTTGGTACATGGGCTTTTTCAACTTGCCCATTGATTTTAATAAGTCTGGCAAAGAGTTTCTAGAGAGAGTCCACCAGCAAGATTGAGCCTTACGTGACATAATATAATCAGAGAATGAGCTGTAACTTTCACCATATTCTATTGATTAGAAGTAAGCCACTTGTCCTGCCCACATCAATGGGAGGGGATTGGACACCAAGAAGTAGGGATCATAGTGGGCCACCTGGAGTCTCTTGGCCACAGTTGTCAATACAGTTCTCAAGAAGGCTGAGAAGATGTTCTTTCCTCTGTTGTACAGATGAAGATACTGATGTTCTATGGGAGAGGTTAAATGAACTGGTATTCCTGAGCACACAGTTAATAGGAAGTCAGATTAAACTCAGGATCCCTGAAGTCTTAGTTCCATCCTACAATCATCAGTATTTAACCATCTTATATATATATATTTTTTTAATTTAATTTTATTATGTTATGTTAATCACCATACATTACATCATTAGTTTTTGATGTAGTGTTCCATGATTCATTGTTTGCGTATAACACCCAGTGCTCCATGCAGAACGTGCCCTCTTTAATACCCATCACCAGGCTAACCCATCCCCCCACCCCCCTCCCCTCTAGAACCCTCAGTTTGTTTCTCAGAGTCCATAGTCTCTCATGGTTCGTCTCCCCCTCCGATTTCCCCCCCTTCATTTTTCCCTTCCTACTATCTTTTTTTTTAACCATCTTATATATTTTTGTATCTACCCATCCACCACTCTCTCATCCAACCATCCTATTGTGTTCTTTTCACTACATCATGATTCTTGTATAAATGTGAATAATATTCAGCAAATTCGTCTCTTTGAACCCAGCAGAATTGCCTCTTCTTCACTATATTAAGTTAGGTAAGATTCTCCTGTGGTAACAAGTAAGTTCAGAATCTCAGTGGCTTTAAAAACAAAATATTTCTTGCTATTACATATCCATCACAGGTCAGCTAGGTTCTTGGCTCCACATTGTCTTTTTCTTTTTTAAATTTGAATATGGTTGACACACAATGTTATGTTAGTTTCAGGTATACAACATAGTAATTTGAGAAGTTTATACATTATTCTGTGTTCACTGCAAGTATAGCCACCATCTGTCCTATTACATCGCTATGACAATATGCTCCATGGTTTCTTACTTGAAGACCCAACATCTTGAAGGTTGCCAGTCCTCATTCCAGTGGGAAAAGATGGCTCTGGTGAGTCTTGCAATGGCAATGAAATGCTCTGACCTGGAAGGGAAACACATGGCATTTGCTTAAAAGTCATAGCTCAGAACCAGTAAAATGGCTCTATCCAACCATAAGGGAGCCAGAAAGTCCAACACAGCACTATTCCCAGGAATGGGGAAACCACAGAAGTAATTGGCATATAATTGGTGAGGTAATTATTACTATAGCCATGAAACTAGCCTACCACAAAATGAGTCCCTGTCACCTTTGCATTGTGCATGGCCTTAGTCCAAAAGACCGCACCCGACCTGTCTTACAATCTGCTTCTAGACCTGTTTCTGATAGCCTCAGCTTTTGACTCTTGGCTTATTTTCATCTCCAGAGCTGTAGCTCTCCTAAAACTTAAGGCTAGCAACTGCTTCTCCAGGTCTGGTTTCTACTTTTCTTCTTGATCACAATTTTTACTTTGTATTCTTAATGACATTGTTCTTAGCCATTGTTTTCTGGATAAACAATTCACCAAATCTTGCTGCATTCCTAAGACCCTAAATCCAGACCCAGGCCTTACAAGCTAATGTCTCTGTTAAGTTGAGCAAGTCATTGAGAACACCATAATGAATGCTACATGGGGAGAAAAATATGATTATATTCTTAAGCATTCCCCTGAATTCTTTTCCTCAGAGATACTGTAGGCACTGATCTAAATTCACTTAGCAAGTGTCATAAGAAAGGGCAACATCAATGGAAGAAGTGGATCCAAAGCATTAGACATGACTGAGCCCAGCAGGAAAGCAGCGCTGACCATTCTCAAGGTGAATAATTATCCGAAGAAAGGTGAACAAGAACAACACAACTGTCAGTCACGCACCTGTTTTGACTCAATGGGAAGGCTGCAACAAGTGAGCTCAAATATTAATGCCACAGCAAACCATCTCAGAAGAATGTTGTATTAGCACAACATTCTCAGTGGGTGCCCGCACTGCTGGAACAAAGTACTCAAGAATAAAGAAGCAGTTGGACTAAATATATGTTCACAGCAGAAGTGTTTTTCATCCTACAGCTGTATTCTGTTTCATCATTTTAAGCATTCTGTCAACTCATAGACTAAACTGCACTCCACCTTGTGCATATGTTTCATGACCACTGTAGCGTATTAGAGAAACTTGCCTGAGAAGAAGGAAAATGGTGGGTTCGGAGAAACAGATTCTGGGAAGTGTCTTCTTTGGTAAGGTAAAGCCCACAACCTCTAAGATTTAGCCCCCAGCACACTATTTGCTGGTCAAGAGGTGACTAGATCAAGCAAGCCTCTTTCTGCCTCTGAAAGTCTCCTACAGTCAGACCATGTAGCTCCTGAGTCTCTGCAGCAATTCCGGCTCAGCTTTTAGGCTCCCACTCACACCTAAGCAAAAGTCTTTCCCTTAGTTTCCCCCAGCATGGCCAAGGTGGTCTGGAATTTATTAAAAGCTTTATTTATTTATTTTTATTATGTTCAATTAGCCAGCAGATTAAAAGCTTTAAAAGAGCAAAGAGATACATAAACCTTTCTTAAAAAATTGAAGTATAGTTGACACACAGTGTTACCTTTGTTTCCGGTGTACAACATAGTGACGGGACAAGTTTGTATGTTAGAGATCCATAAGCCTTTATAAGTTATCTTACACATAGAGGTTTCTGCTCTTTTCCATACTTTGTTCATTGCTAGGGCTTGTCAGTCAGGTCACCTTCCATTTCCGGTCTAGCTAGCTGTCTTATCTGAGTTTCCCTAAAAGCAGACCCCGACTCATGGCTCTGTGTTTGCTTGGACTTGGGAGGCTACCCCAGGAAGTACAGTGACAGAGTGGAGGAGGGAGGCAGGCATGGGAGGGGAGCCGAGTTAATGAGTGGGCTGCTCCAGCAGACAACCAGGATTTAGTCTGATAGGGGCCCTCTGAGACAGGGTAGAGCACTTCTCAGAATTGTCCTACTGAAAAGAGAAGAAGATGGGGTATTGATCCACTAGCTCCCATCAGTCACTGTTGAGAGTTGGGCCTGGGGGTATTACCTCTCCAGCATTTCTAGCCTGCCAGGGTGGTATGCTGAGCACATTCCCAGAGAAAGACTTCAGGTAGAGCCATGGAGGTGCTTGAGGAAGGAGGCCGGCAGGAAAGTGCACGTGAACTCCCCACGAAGCTGCAGGTAACCTCCAGGGCAGCCCAGCATCAGCTTCCAGGAGCCCTAACGGGTTAGCACAACTTCATAGGCTCCCCATTGCCCTGCTCCTGATCTCGCTCCCAGCTATCTTACTTCTCTATCTCACAAGATCTTCTTTCTGGCAATGGTAATTCTCTTCTCGGTGCATGGTGTGTGAGCATGTGTGAAAACACACACACACACACACTTTGTAGGAGTTTATATGACACTCCAGATTTTAGTTTCTCCTAATTCCCATTTCCCTGCTGCTAGAATGTGTCTTTGATATGCATCGTGATGAAATTTACTCCTGCAAACACTACTACAGCTGTTTACATTCTTAAAAATTCACCGCAAATGAAACTATCAAGATAAAATGCCTATAAACATAGAAACTTTTTGCTTGTAATGTGGTTGCAAATTTTCTGACACTACAGATGTGTATAAAGTAAACATAGAACTGATCTGATGG